GTCAAAGGTTTTCGGAAACGTTCACATTAAAAACAAATTGATTGATCAAAAAGGTCTTTCAAAAGGAGCGTAATATAGGCCTGGTCATGGGCTTACACAAAGGGTTTTTGCTTTGAGGTCAATAAAAGAAATATACCATCAACATCTTCAGCGGGTTTACAAGTCAAGAACCTTGAAGTTAAGACAAGATATGATTGCTTCCACTCCTTCTAGCGGTAGCTCCCACATGAGATTCTCACTTCGACTCGAACTATCCCAATCGGAAGAGACTTTCGAATGTGGGTTGTAATGTCGGTTCGGGTGAGACTTAAAAGGCTTAAATTTTTCATACAGGGAAGGGTTTGAGGAGTCAGTGATTATCTTGGCATCATTACCATCACACAACTTCATAATGATGTGACTCTTGAAATTTGACTTATCTCGAGAGTCCTTTAATCAATACACATGTGAGCTTTGCTCTTTTTCCTAAAAAAGATCATACTTGCAATGGATATTTTTGCAGTTGCAATGAATATTGTTGGACTTGCAATGCTTTTCCTGCTTTTGATGTAATTTTTGTGTGGGCTTAGGCTTTGCTTTTACCAGGCACACTGCTTTTGTCAGCCTTTTTTTTTTTCAATTCTTTTGCTTTTCTTTTGAGTATCTAAGACTCTCGAGATGCCTCTATCTTTTCAACAGCATTTTGCTTTGATGGTAAATCATATGTATTGCCCCAACGTGGGGAGGTAATCACCACTCGGATTTCAAAAAGGATTGCATTAGGCTCAAATTGGCTAAGCAAGGGATAATTGTGTTTGGGTAGAGAAATAAATGCTCTTCTTCACTTTGGGATGCTTTGAACTTCTGCCATAATTCATTTGGAGTTAACACAAGAAGATTAATGCAAGTGAAAGCAATTAAATCTTTCTTAATCTTTTTGCTCCAAAAATGATCAACAAAAACCTCCTATTTTATCTCATTGTAGGGTGGTTCTTGACAGGGGTATTTTGAAAATTCTCCTTATTTGGCTCAAAGTGGCTAGCAAAGGATAAAATGAGTGTTTAGGATAGAGAAGTAAAATGCCTTTTATCACTTCAATCCATGTATTCAATGTGAACGAACCCTACGTCCTAGGACGTGGTTTTTTCGCTCAATTTTCTCAAAATGTGTATAGGGACGTGTTTGATTAAAGGTTTGCCTTTTATCATCCTAGGCATTTCCATTCGGCATTTTTGAGAAATCCCTTTTTTTGTTTTTTCAAAGGATCATTTAGTTAAATCTCCCGTCTGTAGGGAATTTTGATAAACAAAACGATTGGAAATGATTTTAAGAATAATGATTCACTGACTCCTCTGGGATTTTTTTTTAACAGGATCTCAAACTTGAAAAACCTTTTAAACAGAAAAGGTCCTCACAAATAAGATCTACTTCCTAAGTTCTAGGGAGAAGATTGATTTTATGTAGCTACTTTCTCGAGGTTGACTCCTTGGGGTTTGGAATAGCCTCCTTGAGGAATAGCTAAGTATCTGCAAAATGAACAAATATGCAAAAATGCTATGTACGCATGAGATGCATGATGCAAATGTCCTAAAGTGACTTGGATTCAATCTAAAAGCAACTCAAAGGCTTTTTATTCAGGGAAAATATTTCTTGACAGCATCAGCATTTACAGGTTTTGGCAACTCTCGGCCATCCATTTCTACAAGAATCAATACTCCGCCGAGTAACACCTTCTTGATGACATACGGTCCTTCATAATTGGGGGTGAACTTCCCACGATATAGAATGATGGGTAGGACTTTCCTCAAAACCAGGTTATCGACCTCAAAATGCCTGGGTCGAACCTTACGGTTGAATGACTTAGCCACTCGCTTTTGGTAGTTTTGTTCATGGCACAGAGCTTTTACCCTTTTTTCATCAATCATGTTAAGCTGTTCAAATCTTTGTTGAATCCATTCGCTTAAAGCTTTACTTGCTAAAGTACCCTTAATGAAGGAATTTCCACTTCCACGTAAAACCGCTTCCATTCCATACACTAATGAGAATGATGTTGCCCCGCCGAAATGCGAATAAAAGTTGGGTAAGCCATTAACGCGTATGGCAACCGATCATGCCAATCTCGGTAATTCTCTACTGTCTTGGACAGAATCTTCTTGATGTTCTTGTTTGCCGCCTCCACAGCTCCATTCATTTGTGGGCGGTAAGGAGAAGAATTCAAGTGGCGAATGTGAAACTTATTAAGTAGCTCATCCACTACTTTGTTATTCAGGTTTGACCCGTTATCAGTGATAATTGCTTTTGGAACCCCATATCGAGCGATAATGTCATGACGAATGAATTTTATCACACTTTTCGCAGTGACGTGGGCATAAGAATTGGCTTCGATCCATTTGGTGAAGTAATCGATAGCCACTAGAATGAAACGGTGTCCATTTGACGCCTTAGGATTAATTGGTCCGATAATGTCAATGCCCCACATTGAGAAAGGCTATGCCTCAGACATTTGATGTAATTCATTTGGAGGAGCATTGATTTTGTCTCCATAAACTTGACATTGATGGCAACATCTAACATGTTGAATACAATCGGCTTTCATGGTTAACTAGTAGTAACCTAGCCTCATGATCTTCTTTGCTAGAAGATGGTCATTCATATGAGGACCACATTCTTCTTCATGTATATCTTTCATTAATAAATTGGCCTCTTTGGTGTATACGCACTTCAGCAGGACCGAATCAAAAGATATTTTATATAAAGTACCTCCGCTGAGAAAGAATTTGGAAGCTAACTTAGTCAAGTATTTCCGATCAGTAGCTCGACTTCCTTGGGAAAATTTTCCTTCTCGAAGGTAATTCATAATGTCATAGTACCATGGTTGACCATCGAGTTCTTCTTCTATAACCATGCAATACGTAGGCTCTTTTAAAACATCGATTTGCAAAGGATCAATATTCAAACCATCGGTTACTTGTAACAATGAGGATAATGTTGCCAAGGCATCAGCAAATTGATTCTGAGATCTTGGTAAGTAATCAAATGAGATCTCTTCGAGTTCTTCCACCAAATCTTTAAGATACTCACGGTAAAGAATCAGTTTTGAATCACGAGTTTGCCATTCACCTCCTGTTTGGAGAATGATAAGCGCGGAATCACCATAAACTTGTAATCTCTTAACCTTCATATCGATGGCTAATTGGAGACCAAGGATGCAAGCTTCATATTCTGAAATGTTATTGGTACAAGGAAATACCAACTTTGCAGCTACTGGATAATGCTGACCCGCTGGGGATATCAGGACTGCTCTAGTGCCACAACCGGAGAGGTTAACAGCTCCATCAAAATACATGGTCCACTTGTCATGTGACACCAAATGGATTCTTTCATCAATTTCATCCCAGTCGTTTGACTTTAAGGGACTTTCAGCTAACATATCAGCTATGGCTCGCCCTTTGACAGACTTCTGAGACATGCTCTGGATATCAAATTCAGAGAGCAATATTTGCCATTTGGCAAGCCTTCCAACCAGTGCAGGCTTTTCCAAAAGATACTTGGTAAGATCATTTTCATTCACAAGCAGGATACAATGGTGAAGAGTGTATTGTCGTAATCTGTGTAATACCCAAATTAAGGCTACACATATTTTCTCAACTTCAGGGTATCGAGCTTCACCAGAGGTAAACTTCTTGCTGAGGTAGTAAATAGCGCGTTCCATTCCATCCTCCGGTCTCTTTTGCGCTAACATAGCTCTCAAAGACTCATCATGAATGGTGAGATACAAAATCAAAGGTATACCTGAAGTAGGCGGTACTAAAACTGGTGGTTGTGAAAGATACTGCTTCAATTGTTCAAAGGATTTATGACAATTTTCGTTCCATTCAACTTTGGCATTCTTTTTTAATAGCTTGAAGAATGGCTTGGCTGTTTCATATAACCGGGAAATAAATCTTTCAACATAATTCAGCCTTCCCAACAAGCTTCGGACCTCCTTGACAGTAAAAGGGGGTTTCAAATCGCAAATAGCCTTCACCTTCGAGGGATCAATCTCAATGCCCTTGTTACTAACCATAAATCCGAGGAGCTTTCCAGACTTTGCCCCAAACACGCATTTAGCGGGGTTAAGCCTTAGCTTGAACTTTCTAAGTCGATCAAACAGTTTCCTCACGACCTCAATGTGGTCTTCACCTTGTCGTGATTTAGCGATCATGTCATCGACGTAAACTTCAATCTCTTTATGCATCATGTCATGGAATAGTGTCACCATGACTCTTTGGTAAGTTGCCCCCGCGTTCTTCAAGCCAAAGGGCATAACCTTGTAACAGAATGTTCCCCAGTGGAGTCGCCAAGCTTGTCGCGACCTACCTCTTGAGGGCCAAACTCGATAAGGCGAGTTTAGAGATAAGTGTTCATGAAACGGTCCATATGGCACATCATAAAAGATAGCTTTACTGAAGCATCGCCCTTTTAGTCATCCATACGGTCCGCATGACACATCATAAAAGACGGCTTACCAAAGCGTCAATCTTTTGGTCATCCATACGGTCCGTTTGGCACATCATAAAAGACGTTTTACTGAAGCATCGATTTTTTGGTCATCCATATGGTCCATTGATCATGAACGTGGATTTTCCCTAAATTCATATCTCGCGTGACAGCGGATCGATTTTATCTTTTTTAGGAGTCGCCACTAGCCTAGGTCAGGGGTCGGCTAGAATACCCAACCAATACGCGGGAATTTCGTATTGGTTTCTACGAGAACCAGAGATCATAGGTTCTGGGACTAGTTTACGTTAATATTTCTATTAACGCCCTTTCGGTACTGCTAAACTTATCAAAGTTGTTATCTAAGTTGTCATGCATTTATTTTTTACCATTTTCATGTCAAAACCTTGGTCTACTAAATGATTATGCATCTTGTTTTTGTATTTTTATTTAAGATTCTAAGCTAATCCTATCTTAGTCTAAAAAAAAAAGAAACAAACAATTGTATTAAAAAAAATCGCGTAAAGAAAACAACCAAGATATTGAAAAGACAAAGCCAATTCTAAGTGTAAGAAAATAAAACACGCAACTCGTCGGGTGTTTATTACAACACGAATTGAAAGCCCGAGACATATGTCGGGTAATGAATGAATTTTTACAATTGAAATGGTCGGAGAGAACATCGACCATCACCGTATACAAGGAATTGGGTCGGAACGGACATCGACCTCCGCCATCTTCAAGACCGCCATCTTCTTAGACCTATTCTAATTCTAAAGCTAAACTATACTAGGTACATACAAGGGGAAATGAACATCATAATGTTCACAAAACACACAATAATTGTTCATACAAGAAAACGCAATATGTAAGTGTCGCGACCTCCGAAACTACCTCGTTCTCCATGGTTATCTCGGCCACCAGAATCGCCTCCATGATAACCTAGACTCGTCCTTTTGCGCCACCTGGAGACCTGAACGGGTTCTTTGATACCTTGGCCATGCAGTCCCAGGTCAGCTCCGGGGACATGACCATTTTCGAGTAACACCTTGCTCGACATGATTGAAGGCTTAGCCATTTCTAGGTCTCGCATGATTGTTCCAACGGGCACATGGACTATCGAGACTAACTCTAAGTTTGATAACTTGATTCGGTCTTGTTCTCGGGTTCTACGTATGGGACCGCGATTAGGTCGTGAAAGACTATAAAGTCAGTTTCTCCATGAACAGTTACCAGCTTCTCATCCACGATAAATTTGACCTTTTGGTGCAGGCTCGAGGGTACGGCTCCGGCGGTATGTATCCAAGGTTGAAACCATCTCCTCCTCGGGCTCAAGTGGGTCGTCCATACCTCCCCACCCATCATGACTCTTTTCGCCTCTATGGAACTCATAGGACTTTGACAAATCGAACCCGGGGAATCTTGGAGGATTATCCCGAGGCACTTCTTTAGCTATCATCCCCCTTTTTAACAGCATGGGCAACAACTTGGATAGTGGCTTAGGCAGGGGATGGTTGGCATGATTGTTCCAATGGGCACATGGACCATCGAGACAAACTCTAAAGTTTGATAACTTGATTCAGTCTTGTTCTCGGGTTCTACGTATGGGACCGCAGTGTCGTGAAAGACCTTAAAGTCAATTTCTCCATGAACACAAATGCTTCCCATCCACGATGAATTTGACCTTGTGTGTGCTCGAGGGCACTGGCTCAGCGAGTATGTATCCAAGGTCGCCCCAAAGAGAAAATTGAAGGCACTAGGAATATCTAGGACTTGGAAGCCGACAGGAAAAAGAACTTGACCAATTAGCAGTTCAAGCTCAACCTCACCAATTACTTCATTCTTCGTACGTCAAAAGCACGAACGGTAGATTTAGATACCAACATTTTTTCTTCATTCACCTAGACGACGAAGGGTGGCAAGTGGGCAAATGTTTAATGCCGATCCATTGTCAATCAACACCTCGCCACCATTCTATCACGACACTTTACCGAGATAAGCGGCGCTTTAGTATGGTTGCGGCTTTCACGGGAAGTCTTCATCGGCAAATGAGATTTGATCTTTCAATAAAATAGATCCAACGAACTCCTTCTAGTTGACCGTCATCGATATCCTCCAGCACATGCACTTCATTAAGGACTTTCAAGTAGTGCATTTTTATGCTTCTAGGATGATTTAAAGAGATCCAAAAGAGAGATCTGGGCAGGCATCTTTCTCAACTGGTTCACGACGTTAAATTATCTTGTCTTGACAATTGCCAAGAACCCGCTTCGCTTCTCATCTCGAGACCCGCTTTCTTATCAACTACCCCAAAGCAGTGCAGGCGCAACTACCGAACGTGTGATGGCGTCAATCTCGTCCGTCTTATAACTCCAAGGAACCGCCCTGGGGTTGTAACTCGGGTTCTCTCTACTATTATATCTTCTTCATCCTCAGGCGGGAGTTCAATCGCCATTGGCTCCATGACGCAATCATCGATCTCTAGGGTAGCGAACTCTTCGGCCATAAGGTCGATGACTACATGCTCGGCATCTCCCTTGTCCGGCATCCATAAATCTTCCTCGACAGATAAGTCAATCATCACAGGGGTAATCATGCCAACCATCTGGCTCAGTGGGTCGTCCATACCTCCCCACCCATCAGGAACAACATCCTTGGGATCGATGAAGAAACTGGGTGACGGTAAATACTTCACAAGATAGTCGAATTTGCCGCTAGGTTGGCCCAGTGTGTCAACCACTTCCCCATTCTCATGAGCGAGCTTGCTTTGGATCTCTTTAAATCATCCGAGAAGCATAAAAATGCACTACTGAAAGTCCTTAATGAAGTGCATGTGCTGAAGGATATCGATGACGGCCAACTAGAAGAGTTCGTTGGATCCGTTTTATTGAAAGATCAAATCTCATTTGCCGATGAAGACTTCCCCGCCAAGTGCCGCAACCATACTAAGGCGTTGCTTATCTCGGTAAAGTGTCGTGATAGAATGGTGGCGAGAGTGCTGATTGACAATGGATCGGCATTAAACATTTGCCCACTTGCTACCCTTCGTCTAGGGGTGAATGAAGAAAAATGTTGGTATCTAAATCTACAGGTTCGTGCTGACGGTATGAAGAAGGAAGTAATTGGTGAGGTTGGCTTGAACCGCTAATTGGTCTAGTCCTTTTCTCGGGGTCGCCCCAAGTCCTAGATATTCCTAGTGCCTTCAATTTTCTATCTGGGACGACCTTCGATACATACCGCGGAGCCGTACCTCGAGCCTCGCACCAAAAGGTCAAATTCATCGTGGATGGGAAGTCGGGTAATCGATCATGGAGAAACCGACTTTAAGGTCTTTCACGACACTGCGGTCCCATACGTAGAATCCGAGAACAAGACTGAATCAAGTTATCAAACTTTAGAGTTAGTCTCGATGGTCCATGTACCGGTTGGAACAATCATGCGAGACCTAGAAATGGCTAAGCCTTCAATCATGTCGAGCAAGGTGTTGCTCGAAAATAGTCATGTCCCCGGAGTTGGCCTGGGACTGCATGGCTAAGGTATCAAAGAACCCCTTCAGGTCTCCAGGTGGCGCAAAAGGACGGGTCTAGGTTATCATGGAGGCGATTCTGGTGGCCGAGATAACCATGGAGGACGAGGTAGTTTCGGAGGTCGCGACAGCTTAGCGGTCACCGACAGGAGACCGTTCGCCCCTCGGATCTCGCTCTCGGGCGCTCTCGAACTCCCTCTCTCTCCTCAATCTCTCTAGAACTCTCTTCTCTTCCTCTCTGTTTTTTTTTGATCGAAGAGCAGAACGCCCATTTCGCCGCTCTCGATGACAAGATCAATGATCTTGCGACTCAGCTCGCTCAATTCGCCAATGATATGAGGCCGCGTTAGCAGCGCCAAATTAGTCAAGTCGCACTCAAGTCGCATTCGAGCCCGCAGAAGGACCCGCAGAAGGAATGTTAACAAGAGGCATTGGGTTCTACACCTGTAGTGATCGTACTAGCCCTATTTCGGAAGCCGTCACGCCGTTTGGAGGAAGAACACAACAAAAGGTTCGCGAAGATAGAAGAGAAACTCCGTGCGCTACGAGGATACGAAGAGCACATGATCGAGGATTTGTCTCGATATGCACAGCATGAGCTTTCGAGAAGTTTAAGATTCCCGATTTCACTAAGTATGATGGGATGGAGACCCAAAGATTCACTTGAAGTACTATTTAAACGGAATGGCGAGGTATGCCCGGAATCGTCCCATTAATGGTTCAAACTTTACAAGAGAGTCTGACGGCCTGCATTGCAATGGTACGTGTTGTCGGAGCAGAAAAGTTTGAGAAGTGGGAGGAGTTAGGCGTTCGTCTGCAATACAAGTATAATACCGAGATAGGCCCCACGCGCGAAGTGTTGACTCGGCGAAAGAGAAGAAGTGAGTCCTTCGAGCCTTCGCTCAAAGATGGCGTACTCGCCGCTCAGTTCGACCCCGCCGGTGAAAAGGAGCTATGGACCTTTTCTCGAGGCTTTACCTAGTGATTTCTATTTAAAGTTGGTGAGTTGGATGCTTGACCTTCTCTAGTTTGGTAGATGTGGGGAGAGGATAGAGGGGCCATGCATGATGGTAGATTGAGAAGGGACTAGTCGAAAGGTCCCGAATAGAAAAGAAAATGATATGGAGATCGCGTATGTACTGCGCCGGTTGTGACAAGGCCCCCTACCTCGTCCTCCCAAGGCCCGTCTGTGTTTCGAGATAGGGCATATTAGAATCATGAATTTAAAAGGAGAGCACCGAGGCAGTTCACTCCCCTGCCTAGGCCACTATCCAAGTTGTTGCCCATGCCGTTGAGAAGGGGGTGATAGCTAAAGAAGTGCCTCGGGATAATCCTTCAAGATTCCCGGGTTCGATTTGTCAAAGTCCTGTGAGTTCCATGAGGCGAAAATGGTCATGATGTGGACAACTGCTTCACTCTTAAGATCAAGGTTCAAAATCTACTCGACAAAGGCATTTTATCCTTTAAGGATCCAACCCTTAATGTTCAGCAAAACCCGTTGCCTAATCATGTCGAGAATGTCAACGTGGTTATTGAGAAGGGTGATGACAAGAAGCGACCTTTAATGTGAATGTTCATAGACTCTATAAATTACTAGTGTCAGCTGGACACTTTGAAAATGGAGAGGATATTCCGATGGAAGAAAAATTGAAATGTATCACTTAGATAGTGGACACGGGAGTAATCTATAGTATGAAGATGGTGGACACGGGAGTAATCTATAGTATGAAGGAAGATAATATGACGGCCATGACGGCTGTTATTGACTCATTTTGTGATAAAGAGTCGGAGGAGACACCTGCTGAGCCTATAAAAATTGACGAGCCAACTAATGAGAGTGTGTCGGAGGGTATAATTGTGACCGACAGTGAAGAAGAGAATTCGTATGATGATCTTGGGCCTTAAGCTAGCAATGTGGATTGGAATCATGAGTTCATAAAGCTCGCTCATGAGAATGGGGAAGTGGTTGACACACTGGGTCAACCTAGCGGCAAATTCGACTATCTTGTGAAGTATTCATCGCCACCCCACCCAGTTTCTTTATTGATCCGAAGGATGTTATTCCGATGGGTGGGAGGTATGGATGACTTTAGATGGGTGGGGAGGGTGTATTGAAGGCCGGAGGAGGAGATGATTGGCATGATTACCCGTGGTGATTAACTTATCTCATCGAGGAAGATTTATGGATGCCGGACAAGGGGAGATGCCGAGCATGTAGTCATCGACCTTATGGCCGAAGAGTTCGCTACCCTAGAGATAGATGATTCGTCATGGAGCCAATGGCGATTGAACTCGCACGAGGATGAAGAAGATATAATAGTAGAGAGAACCACA